GCCAATGATATTTTTTCACGTAGTCATAAGGTTTCACCAGTTCTTTGTTCTGGGATGAAATCTGAGCTAACATCAGCTCTTAGACTTCTTAAAAACCGCTTAAAAATTCGAAATTAGAGATCGCCCACGACTTGGATGGCATTGACATGCTTGCACCGCTCCAACAATGGAGGAACAATCGAATCAAAAATGATCATATGAGTAGTATTGAAAACTTCTCTAGCAGTTTTTGTCGGTATGCATGTGGCTTTTTTGCCATTATAAAGAGCTACATTTTCGTTTATTTTCTGTATATTTGCCAAAGTAAATCATGATAGTTTTTGGTTCTCCAGCTGTTTCTATTCCTGTCCCCACCCCCACCAACTCTATGATGATGGTGTGTGCTACTTCCATGCACTGTAAGCCATTCAATGTTATGGATTCGTATACTGTAGAAATAGCCTCCTAAACTACTAGAAGCAAAAGAATTTTGCAATGCTGAAGGTCAACCCGATTAATTGCCGACCGTCTTATACTGCTGTAATACCCGAGTATAGTTAGAAAGTAAAGTAAACAGCTTTACTTTTCGGTTCTGCTGTGCAGATCTGGTAACAGTGGTTAAAAGATAGTTTCTGGCTGAAATATAAGCATAAATTTAACATTTTCGGTAGCTACGTACAAACGTGGGGTTATGCCTTCTTTTGTATTCTGAAATGCTGGTACGGATCCGTTATTAGTTCTATTGTGATAACATAATCTCCCATCGCTAAGGATACTTGATTTGCAAATTATTACTGTACTGTTTTTAAGTTCAATCATTCGTATCAGCGCTAAGTTGAAAATAATTTCTCAGGTCATAATTAAAAGTTGAGAGCACTGCTGATAAAGCGTAAGCGTTGTTTTCGAAATTCGATACATACTTACAGAAAATTACGCCCACTCGATATTTAAAGGCATGCGGTTCTTTATGAACGTCCGTATAACGATAAATTGTCGTAGTTCGTGCTGCGCCGTTGTGGTGCTTTTTCGCACGTAGAACGGAATTTCGTATTGATTGATATTTTTTCTTTGGAAGTGTACGATGCTGAAGTGCTACAGTGCATACGCAAAGACGATTGTTCTTGAGGAACTGTTGCGTAAAGTACTGAAATTTCTATCGCAATCTACGTTATGCTTCGTGCCGGTTATTACACTCGATAATTTGCTATTACGCGGGTCGATGCTGTCACAGAGGGCGTTCTTATGGGACAGCGTGATCATACACATCATACATTCTAGTACTTCTAGACCATAATATCATGCTAAATATTTTCTAAGGCCCGTACCGATACCGTGTCGTAAATGACCTGAAGATGATGGGTCTTCTGATTCCATATTTGGCAGCATGAGAAAACAAGACAAAATAGTTTTTTTTACAACAGTTCTAACGGTTCAACCGAATTGCATCTGTCATTATCAGGGAATCAGAATGGGAATGTTTTCTCGTGTTGCCAACGATGGAATCAAGACCTATCACATTCATAATATCATGCTATCCCTCTTATTCGCAAGTCACTGGCTTACTGCTCGTTTCTCAGCTGGTTGCGCCGAAGCAGCGTGGGGTTGATTCTTTGCTCAGGGGAATTCACGGTTAAGCAGAGATTATCCTTGGAGTGGACTCGAACCAAGCACCTCAGGAATTCAAGG